TTCAGCGCCCACAGGTAGTGGCAAGACTTTAGCATTTGCTATACCGGTCGTGCAGTTATTAGCTGATCGTGTAGAGCGCAAAATAAGAGCTTTGGTTGTACTCCCTGTCGCCGAGTTAGCGTTACAGGTTTTCAAAGTATTCAAGAAATTGTGTGAAAAAACGGATTTAACTGTTTGTTTACTATCCAAAAAGTTTCCATTTGCACAGGAGCAAGAAAAACTTGTGGAATGTTATAAGGGGAAATATTACTCCAAAGTAGATATTTTAGTGACGACGCCAGGCCGCTTGGTTGATCATCTACATGCAACTAAAGGTTTTTGCTTAAAATCTTTACGTTTTCTTGTTATTGACGAAGCTGATCGCATAATGGACGCTGTTTTTCAAAATTGGCTATATCATTTGGATGAACATGTGCGTGCCACTTCGGATCAGTTACTGTCGGGACGCGCCGCGCCTCTCTGTTATCGCGAGTTAGAAATAAGTTGCGCTACACAACCGCATAAGTTGTTATTTTCGGCTACGCTTTCGCAAGATCCGGAAAAATTACAGAACTTAAGATTGTTCCAACCTAAATTATTCACATCGGTGCTTGCTAACTTGTCAGAATTGCAAGAGAAGTTCGCAGATGCAATAAACATTGAACAGCAAGATAATCAACTGAATCGTGGTGAATTCATAGGAAAATATACAACACCAGCTGAGCTGACGGAACGCTATTGTATCACAGAGAATCGCATAAAACCATTGACGCTGTTTGCCTTAATCAATGAAAATGAATGGACAAAATTCCTTTGTTTCACGAACAGTGCTGACGCCTCTAGCAGGTAAGTTGGAGGAAAAGACCGGTCAATTTATCATTAAAAACTTCTCTTTCCAATAGATTGTCTTTCGTTTTAAATACGTTATTTAATGAAAAACTGATCATACGTGACTTGAGCGCTTCCATAAGCCCGAAGGAAAGAACTAATGTTTTAAGTCAATTCGCACGTGGACGCGTGCATGGGTATGTACAATTAAAAATTTGTGAAAAAATATAAAAAACGTTGATGATTCATGTATTTTTAGGCTTGTATGCTCTGATGCCCTAGCTCGTGGTATTGATTTAGCCAATGTAGATGTAGTCATTTCCTATGACATACCGCGACACATCAAAACCTATATACATCGTATTGGTCGTACAGCGCGTGCGGGTAGTCTGGGTACAGCGATAACAATACTAAACCAAAAGGAGCTGCTACAATTCAATGTAAAAACTTAAATTGTTTACCTTTTCAAAGTTAATTATCATGCAATTCTATTACAGCACATTCTCGGCGAGGTGGGTAAAGTGTTAACAAATGAAATTACCGTTACCAGCGATCATGAGACGGAATATGCCAAGGCCTACACTTTAGCGCTGCAGGCACTGCGTAAGAAGCTTGAACAAGACAAACGCACAGAAATATTACGAAAAGAGCGCGCCAAGGATAAAGCAAAATTGGCAACTAAAGATCCATCGAAAATGTCGGTTATGGAAAAATTGCAGTTGCAGGCTACGATGCAGGTTAGGGATATTGAAGGCGATAATCAAGAACCCAAAAAGCACCAGAAAAACAATCAAAAAGATAAATTGATTAAGCGTAAGAAGTTTAATGCGAGCGCTGGAAAACATAAAGAAATACAAAAATAAAGTGGCTTACAAACAATTTACATATTAATATGAGAAAAGCTCTTTTTAAGTTAATATATCTGTGTTCGTATGGAAAAGTAGCTTATGTCGAAAGGCTGACTTTAGTATAATGCGGCATTCCCTTTATTCNCTTTTTTAAGTTAATATAGGTAGGTGATCCACGGAAGCAAGCACGGGTTGACTATAGTAGATGATGCAAGCGATCTTTGCAGAGCATATTTTAGGAGGCCAAACTCGGCATTGCACCTGTGCAACTTAGTTTCTGGGNAAAAAGTTGTTCAACGGATCAGCGCCAGTGAGTAATTCGCAACCGTATGCTGCGAATGCCGATTTATACTAAAGCCACTCTTTCGACATAAGCTACTTTTCCATACGAACACAGATATGTAGGTAGGTGATCCACGGAAGCAAGCACGGCGATCTTTGCAGAGCACATTTTAGGAGGCCAAACTCGGCATTGCACCTGTGCAACTTAGTTTCTGGGCGAGGTAGTCACTTATCAGCTCACGGGTGGTGCTCAGGACAGACTAGAGTCAAGGCTGGAATTGCATTTCACCTATGCCAAATTTCGATATATTCTGTTCTGACACGGAGCAGACAAGTACTGCTGGTTAACCATCGCTCGAAACATGAAGCGGAATCATGGTGGGAGGGCCAAAAAGCGGGGAAGTTGTTTCTTTGGTTGTTGTTGTAACAACATACAAACATAATGACGCTGGCGTGACAATCATTGGCCAGATATAAATCTGGGTCGTTCCGTTTACGTAGATCAGACTATCGATGGAACGTTGCTTCTTTGGCGTTTGCTTGCAACGATTACAGGGTTATTGTTGTTGTAACAGCATACAAATTCCCCAAAGAGTTTGTGGGGAGTGTGGCTGGAGTGAGAGTCCTCGGCCAGATATAAATCTGGGTCGTTCCGGTTACGTAGACCCGACTGTCGCGGGATCGACGATTACAGGTTAGATCGTCTTTTTCGGGTAAGCCCGACTTTTTCTGGCGCGTGGAACCGGTAGTCGTGGAAATGCTCTGGCTCCAAAGTTTCTACTCATGAACATGGACTTATGCATAATCCCATAAAAAGGAAGCCAAAGGCGTCAAATCGCACGGCCTTGTTGAAAAAAACCCATCGACGAATCTCGAAATCAAGTGTACCCTGGTGATTTCTCGAAAATTTGTTGAAGACACATTTTGTACAGATCAAAACCTTCAATTGAACACCAAGAGTCATTATCCATTAACGGTCCATTACCTTTGAATTTCCTTAATGCATTGGTGAAGAAAATACACAACTTCAACAGAAACATTCCACATGGTGTTATAAGTGGCAAGCCTATCACTAAACGAACACCAGTTTGGACGACGTAATGTTAAATATGTAGTAGGATCTTACTTTCTCAAGCGCGAAATAGATGAACCATTATAAGTTTGCATGTTTGTTCCTGTAAAATACTGACTTTTTTAAGTACAAGTAACAAGTTTTTAAAGTTTCCAAATTTCCTTTTTCAGTTTTTAATATGCCTTTATTTCGTTGTTCCAAAGTTGCTGCCTCTTATAGATATTCAATTTTCATACCAAAATTTTTTTTTTATACATAAAAGTTTAAGCATTTTAATTAAAAATAAAAGGTATTGAAAGCTACAATTTCTTTTATTTGATGAGTACAACTAAGCAAAATACCATTTGTTTATACATTGCTTATGTGCAATAATTAATAATTATAATTTTTATTACTAAATTCAATGCTGTGTAGTACATATTAAAATGTAATGATGAAAATAAGAAATTTATGAAGCTTTTAGTATAAAAAACATTAAAAATAAAATTTAAGTTCGCGCATTGGCAATGCTTTACTTTCTCATAAACAGACCTATTAAAGAGCAAATATACGCTAAAACACAGCCAAAATTAAGATATACACCAANAAAAAGGAGAGACCTAAAGAGCAAATATACGCTAAAACACAGCCAAAATTAAGATATACACCAAAACCAAAATTTAATTGACTGTGTAGCGGCGGAGAGGGAGCTGCAGTGGCTTGTAGCTATTGTTGAACTGGTTGGAGGCGGTGGCTATTGGTCAAGCAAATACAAAAAAAAATACACACAAATTAAGTATAAATAAATATGGAACACGTAGAGACATCAACAATTAGACATTTATATACGAATATATGAAGTTGGAAATGCCTAAACGCCTGATTTTTTGTTTACACGGAAATGCATTGGCAGAAACTATAGGATTTTTTAAATTTTTTGACCAGTAAGAAAAGTAAAGCATTAGCCAGGACAAAATAAAAAAGATTTGGGAATTTTTGGATGTTAAGCTTTCTCTGCTTGCTGCCTTTGAATTTATGAGTGTTGTGATGTACATACATATGGTCACAAGCCCGACTAGGGTGAGGAAAACGTTGGCTTATTACTGCTTAGATTTTTCGTTTTTAGTTTTTTATAACAACTTGACACACAGAGTTTATATCACAGCCTTTATATATTCACTTGGAGATTAAAAGACCACCAACTTCAAAAGTGTGGTGGCCACGAAGATTTTGCATATATGTAGATACTATACATACGCAGGTTTTGAGTTGAACTTAGAGCGTTTGATAATGAACGCTGCGAAAAAAAACACAATTTCACTTATGATTGTTTTTCTTAGTGGAAATTTGGAGATGAAATTTTTTCTACGGGAAGCTTCTCCACGTGTATATCTTAAATATACAAAACTACATTTAAATCTAAGGCATTTTTTATTTCTCATTGTTTTTTATCTTTTATTAAATTGAATTTGTTTGTTAAAAAATTAAATAATGAAAGTGGTATTGTTTTTGTTGTGTCTACTTTCGGACGTATGACATTGGAGTATACAAGTATATGCATGCACTGAACTCGTAACATTTTTGTTTTCATTAGATGAAGTTGTTTGTTTGTTTATTGAGTAAATAATTGTTTTTGCTGGACAGTAGTTATTAAGGAATTTCTTAAATAAATATCAAATTTGTTGTTTAAAATTTTTACGTTGCCTATTTAACAGTTGATAAGTAGGAATTTAGCTCATTCGTTTTTCAAACATAGCTGAAAAATTAATTCACAAGTTGTTTACGCACTTTCTTTCAGAAATAGAAAGGTACTGAACTTGAGAAGATTTCATAATTTTAATTTCAACAAAATCTATATAACTAAATAATTATAAATTTCGCACTAGGGCGCATGCGCTCCTAACTTCATTAGATACTCGGTATAGGTTTGTTTCTCGATGTACAACTAGAAAAATAAAGTATCATTAATTAGGATAATTGTTCCAAAACATGCACAAGAAATTTTNACTGAACTTGAGAAGATTTCATAATTTTAATTTCAACAAAAGCTATATAACTAAATAATTAAAAATTTCGCACTAGGGCGCATGCGCTCCTAACTTCATTAGATACTCGGTATAGGTTTGTTTCTCGATGTACAACTAGAAAAATAAAGTATCATTAATTAGGATAATTGTTCCAAAACATGCACAAGAAATTTTTATACAGTCATTAGTTTGACACAGGGACTGAATTATGAAAATTAAGTTCTTTGTGGCATCAAAGTTTACGTTATTTTCGCAAAAAGCATCCTTTCAACATAGTTTAAAATAAAAGGTTTCAAAGCGTATATTATTCTTAAATAACAAATATATATATATATATTTTTTTGATATTTCATTTATAGTATTAAATACATACTCGTTTTCGCATTACAGTCCCTGATTAAGAATTTTTCCAAACTGCACTATTGCAGTTCACTTGTTTTTGCATGTTTGTTGTGGAGAAAAAAAAAATGCGCACAGTCTTAAGTCTTTTTTTACACCCCAAAAGGGAAAAATAGCATTAAACAATGGTAGATTTCACATATAGCATTTGTCAGTGGGGTGGGTGCCGTTGAANGAGTTTAAAATAAAAGGTTTCAAAGCGTATATTATTCTTAAATAACAAATATATATATATTTTTTTTTATATTTCATTTATAGTATTAAATACATACTCGTTTTCGCATTACAGTCCCTGATTAAGAATTTTTCCAAACTGCACTATTGCAGTTCGCTTGTTTTTGCATGTTTGTTGTGGAGAAAAAAAATGCGCACAGTCTTAAGTCTTTTTTTTACACCCCAAAAGGGAAAAATAGCATTAAACAATTAGGTTAAAATGGTAGATTTCACATATAGCATTTGTCAGTGGGGTGGGTGCCGTTGAAAACTACTTTTTTTCATTTCGTGAATTTTTTCATAAAAAAAAAATATATATAAACTCTAAAACTAGCTGAAATACATGAACTCAAATTTCAGTTGCTTTTCAATTGCTGCTCACATATGTAAGTTTACAGTGTTTGCAAGAAGGCAATAATTTCCGGATTCGAATTTGCAACTACACTGAATTTATCGGGATAATTTTCACGAATTTCTTGCAACAATCCCAACGCTGTGTCGTATGTTTCCTTCTCTGTGTATTCTTTTTTGTAGAGCACATGTATGGCAATAGCTATAATTTGTTCCAATGAGCCTGCGATAGCATCACGGTCCTGCAGATACAATTGTTTCAAGCATTTAAAGATGGAAGCATTTTCATCGAAATCTTCGCGTAGCGGCAAGTGTTGCATGAAAACGGGTAACACTTGAACCAGCGGCACCAACGAACTGTTAATGATAATCAAGCGTGCAATAGCGCCACAAATATTATCCAAAGAACTTGGCTTTGTTTCTTTGGCAACGGCCTGAGAGAGGGCATTTAAAATGTGAGGATAAGCTCTGTGAAAGATAAGATAGCAAATATTCAGTTAATATACAATCGAAGAAAACAAAGTTTTTCGGCTTCAACTTACTCGTATGATTTTTCCTCAGAGTATAGTACTAATTCACCCAAGCCATATACCGCGTTTTGGCGNGATCGAAGAAAACAATGTTTTTTCGGCTTCAACTTACTCGTATGATTTATCCTCAGAGTATAGTACTAATTCACCCAAGCCATATACCGCGTTTTGGCGTGCTTGATCAAAGTCATCTGAAAGTCCAGCGATCATAATTGGACAGAAAGTGTTGAAGAATGTGCCAGTGTGGTTTTGTAAGGGCGCGAAACACTCTGCCAAAGCACCGTAAGCGAAAGCGCGCTGCGATTCAAGGTCTTCGTTTTTCTTTGCCTTTTGCTGTAGGTAAACAAATTTGTACGCATTAATACACTTCAATAAATTACACTCTTTCGCGCATTCAACATTGACATACCAATTTCTGCAAAATAATCGGGTATGCGCGCTCGAAATATGGTCTAAATTGGTCGGGAGTCATTGCTGCACCCAACAACGGCAACATATTGCCAGCACCTTCAACAATCGCTTCATCATATTCGCTCTCCTCGGCATCCTCATCATCATCGCCAGTCGATTCATCGAATTGGCATGCTACCTTGCCCTGCAACACATCGGTAATGCATAAGAAGAGAACATCGCGCAGCTCAACGCTCGGCAAGGCCACTTGCTTCAACTCTTTCAAGAGATCAGCCAAACCTTCAAGCGCTGACAATACAACCGATACTTCTTCATCATCATGTACGATTTGTCCCAATTTTGGTAACAAGATTGTAATGGCACTGGACACACCCTGTAAGTTTTGTTGCTTGAAGAGCGCAACAACAAATGTGCACAACGCGTCAATTGACACTTTACGTATATCTTCCTGTGGATGATCGATCATCTTGTATACATTTTGATATGATTTCTCCAAGTACGGAATGAAAGCGGCTCCGGTATGTTCAGCGAATTCCTTCAACGCCAATATGGCCTCCTCTTTCTCGTCCAAATAGGAATTTTCAACACTGTAACCCGCAATATTATCCAAATCATCCTCGTCGTCGGAGTTCTCAATATCAATATCATCCTCATTTTCATCGGCCTCTTCAGCTGGTGCTGGCACGCCATCGTCATCCTTGAATTCGGGCACTACTTCCTCGGTGGAGAGTATAGAGTCGAACATACGTTCAATTACTTTCGGGAATACGGACGCCATTTCTTCGTTCACCACTTCAGCCAATGATGCAATAAGATTGTAAAGGGCACGACGTACATCGGGATCTTCAGCCTTTTCGAGCAAATTCAAGGCGAAAGTCATGGTATCGGTAGCTAAAGGCATAAAGTTTTGCTTGCCAATGGTACGAGCCAAGGCGGCCAAAGTATCAATGGCTTGGGGACGCAAACTTATGATGTCTTCATTTTCAGTTGGTGCCAGATAGGATTGCAAGATGGTGATCAAACGTGGGAAGTAGGGAAGCATATTCTCGTTTGTGGCGTTGGCAGCAGCTGAAATGGCGCTCAAAGCCAATTCTCGCACGCGCACTGAATTGTTGGGGTTCAAAGCTTCGAACAAACTGAAATGTAGTAGTAGATATTTGTAAAAAAAACGCAACAGGATGTGATTTATAGTGATTTACATTTCCATCAGTACNTACGCGCACGGAATTGTTGGGGTTCAAAGCTTCGAACAAACTGAAATTTAGTAGTAGATATTTGTAAAAAAAAAAACGCAACAGGATGTGATTTATAGTGATTTACATTTCCATCAGTACTGGCAAATGTGGCACCAATTCATTTTCCAAATTTTCACAGAACGTCTCCAGTGCATAGAACATACGATCGATGTGTTTGGGCTCAGTACCACCACTCTAAGGGAAAACAATGCATTAAAATTTTGTATTTAGAAATCTGCAAGGTACACTAGGTGGTTTGAAATAACAGACATTTTGTGCAAGCTTTTCGTGCAAACAGAATAAAAACCCAATCAACTATTTGTTCGACTACAGTGAATGACAGAAAAACGAAATAATCTAGCATAATTAGCACAAAATTTCACTACATAATTTGTTAAAACCGATTTTCGCTTGATTTGCAGCTGATTCATAAAAAGTATTGTATCTGTTTTAGGCGGCCATGGCTCGGTGACTACATCATTTGGCCAGGATGCCTTTTGTTTGGTAAGCGTCAGTGAAAAGGAGAAACACAAAGAGAGCCAAAATTGTACAAAGTTACCGAATATAAGCAGAAATAACTCTATTTGAACTTTTATTTTGTACATAACTATGTATAAATGAATAGCATAAAAATCAATTTGCATAGCTAACCTAAAACAAAATCAATTTGGCAACTTACCCGCAATTCATTGCACAACTGATGCAAAAACTCAAATAGTATCGGGAGAATTTGTGGTGCAAATTTGGTAATGTCAGGCTGCAGATGTTCCGAAAATTGACCGAGTGCGAAGAAAGCAGCATTACGTACGAGCGGCGTTGGATCAGTAATGCCCACTTTAACAATATTCAACATGGTTTCGAGATATTTATTGCAAATAGCTTCTGAGCAACCTTCGGCAATAACGGCCATGCTCAAGTAGGCAGCTCGACGTGGCAATGGATCCTGGCCCTGTAAGGCGGGCTCCAAGAGTTGCAACAATGGAGGAATCAATTTCTCTGGTGGTACGCTCAATGCAAGCAGATCCATTGTTTGGGTAGCAGTAGTCATGGGATTCGAGTTATCTTCACCCAAGAAGTATTCTTCGTCGTCTGTCAGTTAAAAAAAACAGTGTTTTCATTAATATAAAAATTAAATGGTACAAGTATAACTATAAGCAATATGATCTAAAAATCTTCAGTCATCAGCCTTGCTTTTGCTTACCATCTTCATTTTCCGGCTCCGTGGCCATCAAATTGAAAACGACACGTATGATGGGTTCAATCAACTTCTGCTTGATAATTAATTTTTTCTTAAGCCGCACCAGCCAACCAACATAAGCCACAGCTTTAATGCGCACAGCGCTATCAAGTTGAGTGTTATTTGCTGCTTCCAAGCAGAACTCTAACAACATCTTAATATGATTGTTCAACAGTTTAGCATTAAGATCAGCCATACTTTCAAGAATATCAAAAGCATGTACGAACTGATCCACATCGGGCTGTACAGCGAAAGCTTGTAGCGATTTAACAATCAATGGGATGGACTTCTGCAAAGTTTGCTCGGCAGTGTTATGACCCAGAGTGAAGGGCACCAGATAGGTCATGCCGGTGAGAATATTAAAGATCACAGGCGTAGCCATGTTGCCAGTAGCTTCGGTGGCCACCAATGCAGCTGTAAACATTTCACAAACCGATTCCATATGCTGCAAAAATTGATCCGGAGCCGCATCAGCCAAAATGGCAAATGTCGATGAACCGAGTTCGCTTTGTTTGGGATCGGCCGAAGAGCAATAACTGTAGATAAACTTTAGCACCTCACTCATCCATGAATCGGCTTTTTTGGCTTCGTGACGCACCAAAACACCAACAAACTGGGCAATGGCTTTGCGTACGGATTTTTGTTGCTCTTGCATGAGAGCATTGAGCATACCCTGCTTGATGCTGGGGTAGAAGAAAATAGCAAATTAATAAATTGATTATTTTCCAATAACAAATACCTATGCCTTATACTAACATTTGCTGTTGCTCGACAGGCACTTTGTTCCATTGACGTAGCTTAGCTAAGTGCTTCTTAAGTAATACGGCAGAGTATTGACGCACCTGCGGTTCTGGTGCAGATACAGCGATCTCACATAGAGCAGGAATAGTCTCGGGATGCTTGTAGGCCTCCTGCAAATCGGCTGTGGCCTGGGAAAAAAACATTATATACCTGTTTATTTTTGTGCATTTTTATTTGTTAGTAAACTCTTGCGACTTGTAAACTAGTTTATAATATACATATGTATGTACATATGCAGTTGGGAGGGAATTCATAACACGTTTCCAGTTCGATCTAGTATCGGTTAGATGTTGCTTACGTACTATATAGAAATGATACATATATGTAAACAGAAGTTCATTCACGCTTCTTAAATAGATCTAAAAGAAAGGAGATTGCAGCTGTTCCTGACAATGTGTTAAAAAGCCGCAAACACATTTCGTCGCCTGGGTAAAAGATTGTCGTATGTTACACACGTACACATGACGCTTACGACAATCTTTTACCCAGGCGACGATTTATATTGGTAATTTGCTGCTTTTATTTTCTTCCCAAATGAAATCACTTGAAGTAAAACAATAAATATTATATATTTCTCATACAGCAAGTTAAAAAGTACAGCAAAATTAAACAAAAAAATGTATTGTATTTTATTTTGTTTCAACTACGTGTCCGACAAATTATGCCTATACATATTTTTTTACCTAGTTACATGCAGCTCAACGCATTTCCTGATACCCTACGTATTTGACCGCACCAGCAGATCTAACCCAAAATTTCTTGGAAATAACTAAAGTATGCAAAAATACAATCGACATTATAATGTGAAAGTCTAAATATTGCAATCGGTTAAGACAGAAGTTTAAACTTTTTTTTTTAATAAAAAAGCTTTCATAAAACGTTTAATTGAATAGGAATTTTATTTAGTGCAATTATGACAGCCTATGTGCACAAAAGCATGGCACGATGATGACGACGCAACCATGAGTCCTCTTGAATATTTAAATTAATTAAACAATGCGGATTGTTACTCATCGCATAGAAATTGTATATAGAACCAAAGCATAGAAGAAACAATTAGAGAATTGCAAATCCGGATCTACATGTAGAAACGTATATGCTTGTATATAACATGTGTATGATGTATGTATGTACATATTTGCACTATGAAAACACATATTTACATATAAATATGTGTGATGTGTTGCTTTTTGGCCCCACCCCACATCCAATAACAACATCCTAATTTTAAAAAGCTGCACGCTTTTGATTTGCGACGCAGCAGTTTTCCATTCAGAGTTTGCATTTTGATCACTACATATGTATGTATGTATCTACGTCCATAAAATTCGATTATGTATATATGTATGTACATATAAGTAGATACTTAGGTATACGAAAATGGTGCTGCTACTGTTTAATTGAACTGAATTTCGGTTGTGTGTATGGTCATGCTGGACTTGGCAACAGATAGCAAAAAAAAACTCAGTATGTAGCTAGATATATGCATGTTAATAGCAAATGCGCTAAATAAAAAATTCCAAAGCGTTTGTAGTTGTACGCCCGCCGGCCGGCGTAGAGGAAACCGGTCCGATCACGCACAGGAGCGCGAATGGGTGGGTGTTAGTATACATTTGATACAAATATTATGCTTCTATAGCATACATACGTACATGAAATATGCCCATATGTACATATGTATGAACTATTTTTGTTTTATGTTTTTCTGTCTTATTTTTTTCGATAAAAGTCGGACAAACACGTGTAAATTTATACAGTATGTATGTAGATATTTTTATCTAGTACAATCACACTTGTAAATTGTCCATGAGCTCTAGCCTCAGTATATCCAGTAAAAAAACTGTGGTGAAGTCCTTTATGGGGATAAAGTTTCCAGAGGTGAAATTTTAGGTAGCACACAATTTCTTACACGCATGGTTGCTTTTCATCACTCATGAAAGAAACTTAAGAAATATTTGAAAAAAAAGTTCATATAGTACATTAATTTTGAAAGAAATACCATATAATGTATGTACTCTGGTTAATAATATCAAAAAATGTATTAGAACCACCGTTTAATGTTATATTTGATACAAATTAATATTGCTGCCCCGAACGCTCTGCGCCTTGCCACTGAATAATAGATTTACTTAAAATTACATCCCTGGTCCTTGTTCTTTCTGTATCGCATCGTGGTGAATTCATATTTCTCAGAAATTTGACAACAAAACAAAACAAAGCAAGTATTTTATTTGCTAATTTTTGCGATTTCTATTGTT